CTGGCTCTTCTCTCTCCCACACACTGTAGTCTGTGGGGCCTGGAGATGGGTCCATGTGCTTCTTGCTCCCCACTACTTCTATTACACTGCCTCTTCTCTTTTCCTTCCAAAGCCCCAGCCCTTTGAAATGCATGTCATCTTTCTTTGCCTCCTTTCTGTTGCCTACATTTCCTGATATAGATGGCTCACTTGCCCCTCCATGACTCTTGCCCATAGCATCTCTATTCAGCAGTGTCACCATCCCCTTCAGAGGCATTCTGGAAATGCATGGGCTTTGTTTATTTTCTAATGTAGTTGTGCCCCAGGATTTATGTTGAAATTTACATTGTTTTGGTACAAATATCTTCCCTTATTGCTTTATGTTTTAGGGCATCCCGTTATTTTTCTTTAAAGAAATCATAGTAGTTTATAAAAGTTTTATGAGTTTGATTTCAGGATAGGAAAGAGTATATTAAAATATACTTGTCATAAAAAGAGAATACTTCATCTGGTAGCATTGAGGATGGCTTATGCCTCTCTATTACTCCAAGGGTCTTTTCTTCTAGCCCACTTCAGCCCCTAATCAAGTGGTCACCCCCTAGACCCATAATCAAGTGGTTATTCCCTAGACCCATCAACATTAATAACCACATTACTTCCAAAATCCGGATTTAAGTCTGGCCACCATCCAATCTTATAGTTCACTGACTCTAGCAATTCTCCAGCCTCATGAACACCTCCTGCCCTTGACTCTATCACTCTCTATTTTCCATGATCATCTTTTGTATCCTCAATTCTTCCCTTCCCAGCCTAGACTCCAAGGTCCACCATGATACCACTTACTTGCAAACATGAATAACTGTCATATCTGCTTACCCAGAAAAGCAATTTATGTTAGTTAAACTTATAACCTTCTTACTCCTCACATATACCTGAGCAAGCAATTGAAGATGTGGAGAAAAATTACACAACCTATGACTAAACACACTTGAGATTTATGGCCACAAATCTCAAATGGGGACTCAATGCAGCCAAATTATTTTATCACATCTACCTAAAAAATGCACTTTCCAAGATATTTCTCTCTCCACAAAAACTCAACATATCCTCCTTGATCCCTCCCACCTTAGCTGATGATCTCTTGGGAGACAAAGATGCACTTGGATGAGAACCACTTCTATCATTCTACTTCCACCTATGCCCACCAAGCCAATGGCCATACCTCACTTTACTTGAGTTGCCCTCTCAGCAATATTGAAGAGTTCCCATGCTCTCTTTCTTTCTATTTTTTTTTTTTGGCATTCCAAGAGACTTGATTTTACTGGATCATGTATTATCAGTATAAATAAATGCTTTATAGACTCACATTCATTGCTACCTTAAATAAGACAGTGACTGGTCAATCACAAAACCCTGGCTTGGTTTCTGAGCATTTTACTGGTATATACAGCCTTTTTATGCAAGTTACACAATGAGTTTCTAAAGCTCTCACACTATGGGGCATGCCCTTGCTACTTACTGCCTGAAACAAGTTTATTGCCTTCAGCCCAAGACACTGGATGAAAGACAATTTATTATTTTTATGTACAGAAATGCAACAGTGTACGTTTATCCCAGTTTAGTGGCGAGTTCTTTGGCTTTTGCCTTTTCCAGCTTGGCAATGCGAGCCACAGATTTTGGACCCAGGACGTTGCCTCCCCAGTGGCGACAGATCTCATCATATCTGTCATTGTAGTTGGTTCTGATAGCTTCCACCAACTTAGCCAGAGCTCCTTTGTCTTCCAAGTTAACCTGTGTGAAGGCAACAGTGGTGCATGTCTTCCTGTGAACCAGACGTCCCAGCCTAGCCTTCCCCTTGATGATGCAGTAAGGGGCTCCCATCTTGCGACACAGGGCAGACAGGAAGACAACCAGCTCGATGGGATCCACATCATGTGCGATCACTACCAGCTGAGCCTTCTTGTTCTCCACCAAGGTGGTGACAGTATTGACTCCTGCTCGAAGGACAGGTGTTCTCTTTGTGGGAACATCCCCTTTTCCAGCAGCCTTCTTCTCAGCCCGGGCCAACAGCCTCTGCTTCTTTTCCTGCTTGGTCTTGGGTCTGTACTTGTGGGCAAGCTTAAGCAGCTGGGTGGCTGTTTGGCGGTCCAAGGCCTGGGTGAACTGGTTAATCACAGGAGGCATTTTCAGCCGCTTATAGAGAATAACCCTTTGCCCCTGCAGCCGGATGTAGCGGGGCCATTTGACAAAGTGGGTGAGGTCCCTTTTGGGCTGGATGACCTGTCCGATGCCGAAGTTCTTCGGCCTTTTCTCGAAGAGCGGGTTCACTACCTTCTTAGCCTCCTGCTTCTTGACCACGGCGGGGGCCGGGGCCACCTTCTTCCCCTTGGCCTTCTTTCCCTTTGGCATCTTGGTCGGCTGGATGCTCTCTTTCTTGACACATCCTCGTGTAACTTATGGGTCTCCCCTGCATGCTGGACTTGCTCCTACCCTCTTGATGGCTTCTTCAGAGCCTCTCTGCTGGCTATACCTCCACCAAACACCTTCTACCAACATCAGAAACCCAGGGATCTGCATGGGCCCTCTTCTATCCTATAATATCTCAGCATTTCCAAGGCTTCAAAGTCTACCTGTCCTATTCTGTTTGGGATTGTTATAAGAAAATATCCAAGACTGTAAATTATAAATAATAGAAATTTATAACAATTCTGGGGTGTAGGAGGTTGAATATCACTGTATGACATCTGTTGAGGGATTTCTTGCTACATTCTCCCATGGCAAAAGATGAAAGGGCAAGAAAGAACCAACTTTCTCTGTCAAGGTCCTTTAGAGACACCTAATCTCCTTCACAAGGAGGGAGACCTCATGGCCTAATTACTTCTTAAAGACCTCACTTCTTTAGACTATCTCACTGGCAACACCTGAATTTTAAAGATGACACATTCAAACAACAGCACCACCTTTACACCCAAGACCTCCATCTTTAGGCCAGACTTATCCCTAAACTTCAGTTTCACAGGTCCAATTGCCCACCTGAACTTTCAGTTAGATTTCTCATGGGACATCTTAGATTTTCATGACAAAAATATCACTAATCACTGTTGTAGGCTGAATGATGACCCTCAGAGACATTCAGGTCCTAATCTCTTAGCTGTTTAGTTTCCTTAGATGGAAAAAGATATTAATTTAAAGTTCTTGAATTGAGGAGATTATTCAGGATTACTCAATTGGGCCCCACATAATATTCTTATGAGAGGGAAGCAGAGAAAGATCTGATTACAGAAGCATAATGACATATGACAATAGAAGAAAGGGGTTGGAATGATGCAAGAAAGAGATGAAGATGCCAGCAACTTCTAGAAGCTAAAAAAGGAAACAGATTCTCCCTCAAAGCCTTCAGGAAGACCCAGGCCTGGTGACTTCTTCACTTTGGCCCAGTGAGACTGACTTAGCCTTCTAATTTTCAGAATTGTAAGCGAATGCATGCCTGTGGCTTTAGGTCAGTAAATGTGTAGTCATTTGTTACTGCAGCCATAACTAATATAGTCAGTGCCACAAGTCCACCCGCTGACCCTGGTGCCCTCCACATCATGGCAAATGGCACTTTTACTCATCCACTGGCTGAGACCAGAAGCTTCAGAGTGGTCCAGATATTTCTCTTTGCTCACACCTCTCCTGTCAGCAGGTCTGTCAGATCTTCCTCCAGCATACATCTTGCCTCTAACAATGTCTCGCTGTCTCTGCAGCTATAACCCTAATCTTGGCTTCTCTCATTTCCAACCTGAGTTACTACATCACTTCCTTTAATTATCCCCTCCTACTCTTGTCCATGCCTGCACTAGAATGCATTTTCTGAAGGGTGAATCACATTCCATCATTCCCTGTAGTAAGCCTCTCAGTGGCTTCCCATTATACTCAGGATTAAATACAAATTCCTTGTCATGGCCTTAAAGAACCAACCATGGGTTGGCCTCTATCCACTTTATCTCCTTGCACATTAACACTCCTGGGCACGCAGACCTTCATTCTGACCCTTGTTCATTTCATCTCCACCTCTTATCTTTAGCACTTGTATTTCCTACCCCTAGAGTATTCTCTAGATCTTTGCAGAGGTCCCTCCTTGTCATTTAAGTTTTAACTTAAATATCACCACCTCTTTTCCACACTTGTTATATAGGACCCTTGACTCAGTAGCCAGTGGCTAGCTAACCCTACTTTATTTTCCTTGTAGCATTTGTCAGCATCTGAAATAGTCTGGTTTCTGCTCTATTGTGTATCTCTCCACCTTAATGTAAGCTCTCTAAGGACAAGACACTGTCTCTGTCACTGTAGTATATCCAGTGCTTGCACACAGTAGGCGCACACTATTGATTTGCCTTGTTGCCTGGTGTGGCCCATTTCCACTCTACCTCTGCCTCTGGCCAGTACAACTGTATCACATTATCTCTTCTAGGGGTTTTGTATTTCAGCAGCATCAGGCTATTTGTGCAAGGAACTAACCAGCAGAATTTCAGACATCATTCAGCAGGTGTGGAATGACCACAGGGTTTCTTATATGCTGCTTTTAAAAGCACACAATTCATTCAACATCTGCTAAATACTGGGTGCCATGGATACATAATACAGGGAGGAAAAGATATTTATATTGTGCCTCAATGGAAGAATCTGGTTTGCATCAAGCCAAAAAGGAGGCAAATGGAGTCAGAGAGGTAGGCAAAGACACTGTCTATTTCATGACTTGGTGTGGTGGACCCTCCACCTTCTTCCTACGGAAGGAAGACTTGTCCAGCCTAGGAAACTAGGATTGACCCAGTGAGACTGACTTATACTTCTGATGGGAAGAGAATCATGTGGCTCAGAGCTGGAAGGTAGATTTGAAGAATATAAACCAAACCAATAAGTCCCATCTTACTTCAGGACCTGTATCTGTTTGTAAACTGGGGGAGACCATGGATTTCTCCTGGCAATGGCTCACCAACTCTTGCTTAGCTTTCGTTTTTCTCTTCTCCCTGCTGCCTCAGGTCTCATCATCCACGAGGGACCCTCTGTGTATCGCATCTTTAAAAGGTGGCAGGCTGTCAATCAACAGTGGAAAGTGCTGAACTATGACAAGGCAAAAGACCTAGAGGATCAAAAATCAGGAGGCAGGACAAACCTCCGGACCTCCTCATCTGTCCAGGCCAATGTCCCCTCCTCGGAAGAGGAGGCAGCCAGCAGCCCTGCCCCTGAAGAAGGCCCTGCTCGGGTTACCAGCCACCCCTCAGGCCCTCTGTCCAATCACCACTGTGCTTACACCATCCTGCACATCCTGAGTCACTTGAGACCTCATGAACAGCGGAGTCCCCAGGGCAGCCGAGAGCTAGTCATGAGAGTCACGACAGTGTGACTGGAGAGCCCTGGGAGGAAGGGAGAGAATGCAGGAGACAGGTTGGGTGGGAGGGGCCAGGGAGCAGGTGTGGGGAGGCCAGAGCAGAAGGTGGTGGGCCTTGAGGAGCCCTGGAAAAGGAGGAGCTGGAGGGAGGCTGGCACCAGGAGCAGTTTTGTGATTTCCAGTCACTAGCATTTGCTAACAGCAATGGAAACCAGTACAAGCTCAGCAACCATGGGCAATACAGACAGACAGAGCCTAACACAACGACCTCCCAGATGTATCCAGAGGTGCAGGAGGAGAGGCTGAGGGAGGGCAACACTGTCTGACTGGTGATGGTGCCTGCAGTACACAGGCCACAGAGAGAAAAGGCAAAGGTGACCAAGAGGAAGAGCATTTGAAGCCTGCTCCGTTTCATCCTTGACCTTGTTTCTGTTTCTTCCTGGTCTATGCTCCTAGGCAGTCGGGGGAGGGGGAGGGATATGTGGGCTGGTAGGGAGGACACACCGGCTTTGGGGTCTCTGGGCTCATCTTGTGGCAGAATTTTTTTGATGATTCAAATGGCTTTAGGGACCCTGGGATGGAGGGCGCAGGGAGGGATATGTTGGTGTGAGTCACCAAGGGTATGTCTCCTCCCATGTGAACTTTCCCAGCTGGAACTTCCAATTTCAGGTGGGGTCAAAGAGGGCTTAGGTTTAAAGATGGGTGTCTGTCTGTGCCCTTGTTACTCTGTTTCATGGTGATTTGATTCAAAGATGTTTACAGGACACACACACACACACATGCACACACATCACGAGGAAAGTTTGATTACTGGTGGGTAACACAAGCACAGTCCTGCTGCTGTGGTTCAGCCTTCAATGCTATCAATCCAGGAGAAACTTTCTCAACTACCCAGCCCACCCATGACCACGTCAGGCTCAATGCCATGCCTCTATAACCTGAGCACAGGCACAGAAGGCCTTCCTATATGTCCCCTCCCACCTGGGTCTCCCAGCACAGCTGCTGTGGTACAGGCAGAAGATGGCTGATGTACCCCAAGGTGAGAAATGGAAACCTGATTAAGTATTCCCTACTGCTTGGGGACCCTCTCCAAAGAGGTGGTTTGGTTAGTACTCAGTGCTGTGTGCTCCCAGGTCCTTCCTGTACAGCCAGGCAGGCCAAGGGTCCTGACAGGGAACACCATCTTTGGAGCCCACCTGCTGGTTCCTGGGACCCTGCCAGGGAAGGCCACTGGGTAGTCACTTGCAGAGTTTCTTGTTGTCGTTGCACAATGGCCACATCATCCTTGGGTATTAAAAGGACACTGTCAAGTACTTTTTTAAACTAGTTTTTAGGGTTTTTTAAAACTCTCTGTTGTTTGTAATATTCTCTTAAAGCTTGAAAATAAAATTTCTTTCCCTACCACTAGTGTCCCTTTCCATACTAGAATTCTTCCTTCTTCTTTCCCGTTCTCCCTCTGTGATATAACCTACCTTCTTTTCCACGTTCTGTCTCTTTCATCCCCAGAGTCTCCTTTTAGCAGGAACTGCAGTGTTTTCATCTCTCCTGTTGCGGGTACTGATGGAGCAAGGCAGGCAGGTTTGCTCCTGTCAGCATGCAGCATGCGTGTGTTTGTGTGGCTTGTGTGTTTGTGTGTGTACCTACAGGAAAGCACTGTGACTCCAGCTTCTAGGTTTCCTAGCCCAGGAAAAATGCTCCAACTCTCCCAAGGATACAGCCAAGAAACCTAGAAGCTGGGACATGGTGCTGGAAGGAAGCTTGGGGTGCTCCAGCTCCATCCTGATGGGTCGTTTCAAAGAAGCTGATGTAGCCTGAGGAGATGAGAGCAGGACCTCCTTCCTCTGAGAGTTTTCCCTCAAATATCAGAGAAGAGCCCAAGTCAAGGCTCTGGGAGAAGTCAGACAGACCATGTACAGCAGACAAGCCCTCCTCTCCCTTTATCCTGGCCTGGCCCTCCCTTCTTGGGGTCCACAGGTGGTTAGGCAGTGTCATCAACAGAATGTGCACGGGTTTAGGAGGCTTCCTCCCCAGTTAAGCTCATAATTCAGAGGGTTAGAGCATAATTGTTAAGAGACCAGAAGACATTCAAGGAAAATGTAAAACAAATGAAAACCAATGACACTGAACAGATAAGTTATTTTTGAATAATAGTCTAGGGACAGGCCATTCAGTTTAATGAAATATTATGAACACTATGGTTGTTTTACATGGATTATCCATTTTTAAAAATATATCAGAATGCAACAAAAATCTGCGTATCATCAGATATTGTGACCGTTAAACTATCTTTGGTGATTTACAGGACACCTCAGAATATTGTGAACATTCATAGTTGTCATTTGGAATCTGTGTTACTGAAGGAAAGACAATTAATGAAAAATTCTCATAGGATGCTAAAGTTTTCTGGCTCTTGAAGACACATGCTCCAAAAGAGCCAGGATGTGATCTGTCTTGTTCACTGCCATATAACCAGGATCTATAGTAGTGCCTGACACACAGTAGGGCTCAACAAACAATTATGAATAAATAAGACACTCCTGGAAGAGTACAAGAGGATGTACCATCAGCACCAAGGAACATACAGTGCTTTCTGTCTGCCAAACTCTATCCCAAACCTTCAACAACATTTTAACTCTAATTTAATTCTTCAAATCAATGAGAACTACCATCATTTTCATTTCACAGGTAAGTAAAGTGAGACATAGAAAAGCTAAGCATGATGCCCAAGGTCATGGACCTATAAATGGCAACGTCCCAATTGATACCTTAGCAGCCTGGTAGCATGCATTGAGCCGTTAACCACTGTATCACACTGTCTTTTGGAAAAGCAGAAAGGCATTTACTAGGTTTGTCCTGATTCAAAAGGCAATAGAGGGAAATGAGTGAGTCCTACACCAGCTGGACATGACTCAGATGCCAGCCATGTCACATGCCTCTAATGGTCAACTCAGGCCAGTTTCAACTTCTCTATCCCTTATCCAATGGAAAAGTTGATTCCTTCATCAGAGTTTCTAATAATTCAGACCTTTAAAATTTTTTTCCCCAGTTGCCTCCTACTCCAATATCTTGAATCTTCTGAATTCAGGGTTTCCATTCCCTGTCTTCAACAATTCCTGAACCCTGTTAAGCCCAAATGTTGGACATGATTCCTTCACATTGATTCTCCCTCCCCTCCAAATATTGTACCTAACAGCTTTACTGGAAATCTGGAGGTAATTTGAGGTTTATTCACATTAAAACCTGTGGTGAGAAACTTCCATATGGAAGGTTCTTGCCAGGTGGGTGCCTCAAATATAAATGAGATAAAATCACCTTCCAGGATCCCATTGTCTAGTTATTAGATTAGTAAGAAGCCCAGCATTTCTCATCAAAAATTTTCTCACAAAAAAGCCTGGAAAGTTTATTCTTACTAACTGTAAATAAATAAAGTAACATTCCTTTCCTGGGGAATTTGCATTTTTAAAAGGAGATAATGGGGTTGGGGTTGTAGCTCAGTGGTAGAGGGCTTGCCTGTCACGTGTGAGGCACTGAGTTCAATACTCAGCACCACAAAAACAATTGATAAATAAAATTTTAAAAGGTATTGTGTCCATCTACAACTAAAAAAATATTTTTAAAAAAGGAGATAATGCTTAAGTAAGAGAAATGACTTTATAAGTGATGGAATTTCAATCATCCCCAAGTAGGTGGAGAGTTCGGCTGCATTCTTTCAACTAGGATGATCACTGCGTATATACATGCATTTGACACACAGACATGCATACAGGATGACATAAACACAGAGAGAACAACAAATATATCCCCTGAAAAGTACATGGAGTCAAGGCCTGTTGACTGAGCAGTCCTTCTGTATTCCTTGGGAGATCAAGACACCCAGGCAGCAGGTGGAAAGAGGCAGGAAGATCCTCTGAGCTCTGTAATATTGCTTGGTATGAGCAGTCTCATTGTCTAGAGGTTGGATTTACAATAACTTCTGCTCAGCCAGTGACCATTCCAAGGGTGATTTGTTGAAGGGAGCCCTGTGCACCTTCCTTCCAGGAAGCTCTCTTTCTTCCAAGAAAAAGTGTAGAAATTCTAGAACTGCCACTGCCCTGAACATGCTGAGTCTATACCTGCCCAGTGAATCATGGTGACTTTATTGTAAAGTGCTAGTCCTTCCCTCAAAAGCCTCAAGGCTGAAGCATCACTTCATATCAGCCCTTTCTCCTCAAGTCATTTCAATGGATGCCTGTTGTTTTTGTCTGTCCATCATACAGAACCCTCTTCATGGGAAACTCAGGGCAATTGGTTCTAGTAGGGCAGAACCCCCATAACAATTCCTACCATCAAAGTGGGACTGTGATCCAGGCTTGGATAATTGAAGTGTTCCATTTCCCTGCCTATGGGGATTGGCTTAGAAATGGGCATGTGAACAAAGTCAGTGCGAGTCCTCCCTGGGACTTTTCCTTCAGGACTAGAGGGAAACACCATTTCCCTTCACAAAGATTGCTGGCTGGGAGTCAGTAGGTCTGGGAAAATTTTCTGCCATGTGGAAAACACCTCTCTTAAAAATAAAGTCAAGTAGACACATATGGAGCAAAGAGGAGATGAAGATAGACCTGCCTCTCCTGGACTAGGCCAGTTTCTCCACTAGATTTCTCAGGATAATAAATTCCACTGTAGCTTACATCAGTCTGAACTGGATTTATGTCATTTGCAACAACAACAAAAATTCCATTATGAATGCAAAAATTTATAAATATCCTCATCACAAAGCTTTGGGCTAAACCCAAAGGAGGTGTATTGGTTGAGAGACCAAAGAAACTGGAATGAGTTGCCTCCTTCTCCTATGGAGTAGGGGCTCAAGTGTGTAAGGTGTTAGCATTTACAACCATCACACTCCTATAGTTCTCTTTATGAATCTTCTCAAAGTCACCAAATGATTAAATAGAAAGACAATATGCACAGATAGATATGTACTTTTAAACATTATCTTTTAAAAAATGTCTCAAGTTTACATCAGGGAGACAATGAAAAGACCTAAGATGAAAAATAGACAGACTTATTATCCTAAATCTGATTTAAGGGCTGAGAAGGAACATATAAGGTCACATGACAGAAGTCTGGATTCCATGATTCAGAGCGGAAGGTAAGAGCCAAAACTAGGAGTAAGACCTTGATCCACTCAAAGTCAAAGGGGTTATCCATTATTCACCAAGGCATGGCCCCATACAGATGCCCTAAATCATATTATTCACTGAAAAATACAAGCTGCAGGACAATATATACAATGACCATATAGTTGTAGAGGAGTATCCCCCTCAAAAAAAGAAAAGACAACCTCATCCACATAATATTTCAAAATGCCATACGTCATGGGACAAGAAAGATGGTAGGATGAGATAGACATCATTACCCTAGGTACATGTACCTGTATATACATGTATACACATACGTACATGTATATGCATATATGGTGTAGTGCTACATAGTGTATAATCAGAGAAATGAAAAGTTGTGCTGCAATTTCGAACAATGAATCAAAATGCATTCTGCTGTCATATATACCTAATTAAAATAAATAAATTTTTTAAAATGCCATAGGTCACCTTACCATTATTAGTATTGTTCTTGCTAGGTTAAGCAAGCCACCATGAGTTCCTGACTTTAAGAATGATACCTATGGAAGCAACCAGAACTAGGTCAGATCTTTTGTGAATGTGGGCAAGAAACAGCATTTTTAGTCTCTGGTTTCCTCATCTTTAAAATAAAAATAATCAATTCACCTCCCAGGACCTTTGTGATATCAAAAATAGAACATATAAAGTAGGCAGTGAATAAATGAGTCCTATTTATTGAGTCATTACCATAGTATTTAAAAACAAGGTTAAATCAAAGCAAAAATGGGTACCTGGCACCAATATTCTCTTTTAACTTATCACTCAGATAATAAGTAACAAAATGTCCAACTAGAAAGAACTAAAACAATTAAGGGCTTATTTTTCTTTCATAATTAGCCATCCGGAGTAGGTGGCTGCGGGTATCAATCTAACTGCTCAGCTATGTGCTATGTCATTAGCAATCCAGGCCCTTTTTGTCTCTCTGCTGTGGCAACCTAAGAATGTTGATTTGTCTCCTGTGGCTGTAACCTCATAGTCTCGGGTGGGCTGCTATAGATCAAAGCACAAAAAAAAAAAAAAAAAAAAAGGGAGAAGGGCTGGCCCCAGTCACATTCCTTCTTTATGTCAGAAAAAGCTTGTGCTTTCTCAGAACCATGTTTTGGCTTCTAGGTGCTTCCATGTTTATCATTTGGCCAGAATTGTGTCACATAACCACTTCACTGCGGGAGAGACTGGGAAAGTGATTATTTACCCTGTTTAATTCCTGCTATGGAATATATCAAAGGAGGAAGAGATGGGATTGGA